CAGAACTGTTTAGCACATGTTTGGTCAAAGGATGGGCTTCACATGTCTCGTTAACGAGTTTTAATATGGTGCTACAAATGGCGAAACTCACTGACTATGCCAACTAAGATGCCGGCGAAACGTCTGAGAATGTACCACGTCCACGGTCATACTCTGGTAATGATGATGCATACAATAGACTCCGCACTAGGTTCGTTCCTCTAAGTCTTCCTACCATTATGACTAAGTTACGAAAACAAGGTCAAACAACTCTTATGTATTTACTTGTTTATTATTGTCTCGATAAAACATGAAATATTGGCTTTTGCCTCACTTAAAATCTATTTTTAAATACCAAGAATTACTAGGATTTAGTAATCTCCTGAGACATTATTGCTGGGAAATGGAGTTAGTATACGCCATGTAACTTATTTGCTGGTAGTTTTGAAACTCTGCTTATGAACGAAAAACCTTTTATTAAAGTTTATAATTCCCCTTAATTTATACTTTTTCGGACCTTGTTTTTGCAACTTGGTCATATAGGCAGGAAGATCTGGAGGAACTCACTGCCCAGAATCATTAGTATCAGTATGACCGTAGACTTTGTGCGTTCCCATACGTTTTTGATTCGTCATTGAGTCCTGCTATTATCAGCACCAAACTACAACTTGTTAGAGATAAATTAATTCAAATCCTTAGACAACTTTCGGATCAAATTAGTGTTATCATGACTCTTTATGTCCTGGCCCCTCAATATATTTCCTACTGTCTTGTCTTACCCTCGTATCAAAACTTCTGACTTATATTCCAGTTCTCGAAAAATGCGTCTGCAGATTTTGGTGTGGCGTCATCACATCTACTACTTGCCCTGCCCCTTGCCTTTTGAGTGGCTGATCCGACTCTGGCCTCCTGGCCAGATATGCCTCATGGGATCCGTTTTTTATCTTTCTGGTTGACCAATTTTATTCGGTTCCGTCCCAGGTGCTTTTTATCAAGCCTTTAGTAGCACGTACAATGTCGTTTCGCCTTCAGGCCGCCTAGGCTTTGATTCCCATGCTTGTGGATATTAGGCATTGCCTTCACACATCATCTCCTTGATTGAACCCGTGTACCATGAGCAAACTGTCGACATCTATCTCTGGTCGCCTGTTGCATCTCGAATGGATTATTAGTCAACTTGACCCACTTCTGTGGCGGTTGTGATTATCTGTCTCCCTCGTCACGAAACCATCATTACCCCAAAGTCGTAGTTTCTTCGATAGACTACGCTCCCTGAGAACGTCTTCGCTTTATTTCTGAAGCTTCCTCATCCTCTTATTCCTTGCTATCCATTTTACTATGGTTTTCGATAGGTCCTTTGTCCAGGCGTCTCCTTATTGATTGTCTTCCCAAGGATGCCAAATCCCCCTCCCTGTGTTTTACCATATGATACCTTACTTAATGTTGCCTTCAAATTGATCTCGTGTTCCGCTATATCTGATCTTTAAGTGTCTATTTTCCTGCAGAGCTCTTAATGATCCTTGATTAGTATGCTTATTTTTTCTTCAGTTTCGCTTTTATATTCATGTTCGCAAGCGCCGCATGTTATTCCATTTTCTTAACATTGATCGTAGATTTTGAGTTAGTTTGCGAGAAGGAAGGCATTTCCACTTTCGCGTCTTTCTCGATCTTTATTTTTGATAATTCTCGTCCTAACATCGGCTCTTCATAGCCAGTTTGTTTCTTTGTATTGCTTCTCCCGAGTATCCCTTGCCGAGGAATATCCGAATCAACGTTTACTACTCTTCATCACAGAATTCTACGTCGGTTAATCGTAGGCTTATAAGGATCATGCTCCTCATGCTCTTATTTTTGTATTTGTGATGAGACCTGAAATTTAGTATTATTCCGGCATATCACTTCTTTCGAAATAATTTTCTTTTGAGTGTCCCATTCGACCAAATGACTTTCAAATCTGGTAAATCTAAGCGCCCTTCTTTATCTATATTGTGAACTTGATTATTCCACAAATCCGGTTTATAAAGAAATTCACCCATTTTTTTTATATATGCTACCAAATTACGAAATAGTCATCCAGGTACCACTTAGGAACTCCATATTTTTATATCTCTTGTTTTCATTGTACAGTTTAATCTTTTCTTTCATTTTTAATGAGCTTTGTTTTTAAATTTGCTATATCCTCAATATTATGTTTTTTTAGGGACTAATAATTGTAAAGATATTGTCTCGCTTTTTAGAGCACCATATTTCGAAAACTGGAATCATGATATATTATAACATTTTGGTTCTACTATAATTATACCCTTTGCTTTACTATGCCTCTGCCTTATTGCCTCAATATGTACAATTTTTCGATTTCTTCCTCTATTTTTTAACAGTTCCCTTTGCTCACATCACTCGATGAATTGACCACTCTCTTTGTACACTCTGATACTTTTGCAAGCGATCTTCTTAACCAAATGTTCGACGATATTCAGGAAGGCAACCTAGACGCTATTGAGCGTCTTTCTGCTTTACTATTTACTAAGGGACACCTTTCTCCGATCAATGTATCTGCTATAGTTGATAGCACTATTACTAATGGTTTGGAAGCGATATTTGCCAATTTTGATCTTCTACTACATTGGCTTGTGTTTGTTGTTTTCCCAGCCGACTGGCCAGGAGATGATTCTTTTGAAGACGAAAAAGCCAACTCTCTTCTTGCCAAAGGTCTGTTTTTGTATATTAACTTATCTCATACACTATGAATTCGGAGATCAAAAAATAAAATAACAATTTTTCCTTATTACAATTATTTCCTTCCCTTAGTCATGAT